AGGAGGAGGAGGAGGAGGAGGAGGAGGAGGAGGAGGAGGAGGGAGGAGGGAGGAGGGAGGGAGGGAGGAGGAGGGAGGAGGAGGAGGAGGAGGAGGAGGAGGAGGCGGAGGAGGAGGAGAGGAGGAGGAGGAGGAGAGAGGAGGAGGAGGAGGAGGAGGAGAGGAGGAGGAGGAGGAGGAGGAGGAGGAGGAGGGAGGAGGAGGAGCCAGAGGCAAGCGACGCCTTCTTTGGCTCCTGGAGGCCTCCCAGAGGGGCGACGCGCCTTCGACCTCCGGGGGCGCCTCCCGTGGCCTCTTCGCAGCGAGCTTCGTTCGGCGCGGCGCGCCTCGGCAGCGGCCTCGGGCCTCGGAGCTCTTGGCCTCTGCCCGCCGTGCGTGCTGTCGCAGGGGGGGGGGGTCGCGCGCGGCGAGGTGCTGCCGCGCCTGGAGGCACCCACCCCCACCACCACCTCCACCTCCTCCTCCTCCTCCTCCTCCTCCTCCTCTCCTCTTCCCTCGGGGACTTGGGGGCATCGTGGAGCGTTCCGGAGGCTTCTTCAGGCAGGCGGAGGCCCTCGCGGGCCATCCCGGGTGGGGTTCACTTCGCTCGGGAGCTCCCGTGCGAAGTGAACCCCGCCCTCCCCCTCAAGAAATCGAGGGGTAGGAGTAGGGTTCGCATGTGGTCCCCTATGGCCCCTTCGGAGCTCCCTACTCGGGGCAGGGGCGCCTCGAGGAGTGGCCGCGGCGGCGGCTGCTGCCCAGCTGCCCTGGCCTGGCGGGCTCGGGGGCCCCCAGGGCGGTGTGGTGGCCACACCGTGTGGGAAGTCCGCGGGAATGCGGGGTGGCCACACGGTGTGGGAACTTGGTTCGTTCTCTGAGGACGTCTCGGGCGACTGGGTCCCCAAAGTAGTAAGTCGGGCGTGTCCCTCTACAGGAGGAATGTTCAACTTAGTCAAAAAATAGTCTGGGGACGATGCTTCGACCATTTTTGTATATTTTTTAGCCTTCTTTGAACATGTTAAAATCCGCCTGAAGGAGGACATGCCCAGCCTAAAACTTGGTTCGTTCTCCGAGGACGTCTCGGGCCATTGGGGTCCCGAAAGTCCCCACAGCGTGTGGTGACGGACCGCGCAGTGAGGTCTTCTGAGGTCGCCGCACGGTCCGTCACCGCACCGTCTTGGGAACCCCAGCGAACGGGCGGGGTCGAGGCTGTACGCATTATCCTGCTCGTCCTCCTGTACCGTTGCGGTCCAGTTGTGCTGCTATAGCGCGTCTCGCGCCGCCGGTTCTGGCCCACCACGCCTCGTCGCGACCCGCCGCTGACCACGTCCCAGTCCCCAGGCATCAACGGTTCCCATCCCCTGGCCGCGCGGAGCGGAGCGACACGCTGCCAGCTTGAAAGGCACAGCGTGTCGCGTGGGCCACCGCTGCGACACGCTGAGCAACAGTTCCTTGGGAGGGGGAGGGGTGCGCCGCGAAAAATAAAATCGTCGGGGCGGAGGGGGCACTGGGCGCGGCTGGGGAGGCCCCACTGGGGGGCGCTGGGGACCACTGGGGAGCGCTGGGGGGGGGGGGGGTCTCACTGGGGGGAGGAGGGGCGCGTCGCGAAAAATTAAATCGACGTGGGATTTGACTCCGCCGGCTTAGGTTGCGACTCGGCAAAGTGTTCTCACCGTCCTCGTGAGAATTACCACTTGTGGGCTTCCATCTGCGCCGTTGGCACCCAGCAGGGAGGCTCATTGTTGGACGAGCGATGCCGCTTGAAAACGGAAGCCGTCTCATTCCCTTCCTTGTTGTTCCTCTTTTCTCCCCAGAGTTCCTCCTCATTCCACGCCATTGCTTCTGTCATCCCCCTATCCCTCCTCCTCGACATCCTTTTCCTTGCAGCACTGATCGGGGTTGCGATCGGGCTGGCGTGGTGGTCGGATAAGCTCAGATGTCCAGTTGGGGGTAGGAGAGCTTCAGTCCAGCAGCCATTTGCGGTTTTGTGGTCAGGTGGCCACCCGGGGTCCAGGGGGCGGCATCACAGGCTCGCCGTCGCTACCACGCCGCACCAGTCAACTTGGCCATTCTGCGCATCCGTCAGGCGGACAGTTCGATTTGGGTCGCCAGCCATGGAACAACCTTTTCTTCAGTGCGAGATGTGATTGCGTTCCAGCCGCGCGCGCATTTGTCCTTCCACGTCGATTGTCAACTGTTTTGGAGGGGCTCGTCGCCGTGGCCTGACGCAGGTTCAAGGACCTGGGCCATGCGTCTTGTGGGGCGAACGGGGCGTTCTATGATGCGGCAGGGGGTTCTCGCTTCGGAAGGCTGTCTCCGCTGTCACTGGAATGAGCATGGACAATCGTGTTGTGACAGCGTTAGGTCGCCGGCAACAGTGTTGACCAGTGGCAAAGCTTGCAGGGATCATTGGCTCCAAGTAGGGCGAGCGAGGGTCGAGACCCAAAAGCGAGAGCAACATAATGCAGACACGTGTTGGTCGTGTGTCCATGTATGAGTCTGCGTGAGTGTTCCAATCATGTGTGATTCCCATCTGTTTAATGCACAGGGAGTTCAGCACGACATCGGGTTGGCAGTGTGCGCTAACCAGACATTCTTAGGGCCGCTTATGGCTACAATACATTGGGGGACCATGCTAAGAAACTCCCTGCGTGCCTCCAGGGTGCCTTGGGTTTCTTGGGTTTCGATCGCTTCTGCTGTGGAAGGCGTGACGTTCCCATACCACAAATCAATGGACGTCCTGGGGTCTCAGGGTTGGGTTTCGTGTTGAAGGTTTCTTGTTGTCGGGCCCCTAATGTATTGTCACATGGCTGTCGTGCCCCCATCCTGGTATTGTATGTCAGCCCGCGGGTGGGATAGAGAATTGGGAATGCGAAGGGAGAGGGCAGAGGAGTGAGCGGGCTTCGGGCCTCCGAAGTGTGCGCTCTAAGGAACCTCATCCTGAACCCCGCGGACGTTTCCAACGACTTCGAGAACATTCGCCATATCCGCAGCCTATTCCGATTTCCTCGCCGGACCTGACTGTATTTATTATGTTCTTGGTTTCCGTCCTCATCTACCTCCCCCCTTTCCCCATTCACAATCGATCTCTCCTGCCCTGGCCCGTCTCCCACTTCCAGCCCATGCTCCAGATTCGGCCCTCACCGCGTTATCCCTCATCAGTTTCGCCCCCGTATCTCTTCCAAAACATTGACGTGCCGTTGCCAGCAGCACGCCGTGTGTATGTGTGTGTGTGTGCGTGCCTGGCAAGTTGTTTCAGCCAGGGCGCTGTGCACCTCCCATGCTCCCAAGTGTACACGACTTCTGTTGGCGGGCAATATGCTCCCTAACCGATGCAGCATGTCATCAAGACAACATTTGCGTGTCGAATGCTCGTAGCGTCGTCCCAGATCGTTTTGCGACTGCCACCCGTTTTGTTCAGTGTCGCAGCGGTCAGCGACGGTCCATCTTCCTGCTCCCCGTCCTCCTCCTCGTCCTCCTCGCTCTTCTCCCTCATGCGGTTCATTCCCCCCATCCGTTCTTTTATTATCTCGCCTTCGGTTTCACCCCCCCGCTTCTCGTCATCCGCCCCCTCCTCCTGCAGCTTCTCGGGGGAATCGCCTGCGCCATCGGGACATTAACCGCCCTCGCAGGGTTCTGCCCACCCGCGGGAACCCATCGAGAGTGGCGGGTGACTCGCCCAGGAGGTCCCTGAGACGGCCCAGGAAGAATTCCTCGGGAACCCTACGGACCCCGCTCGGATCCCTAGGAATTCCTCAGGGACTTAGCCCGGATCGTTTACGGGCTTCTGGCTGGCATAGTCAGTCGCCAAGTTGACACTGGGGGCTTCATACGGCTTACTACTCCGTGCGACAATGCCTCTTCCTCTGATATAAGTGTCGAGGCCCCCGATTCGGCGCCCTCCCGTGAACACGAGGCGCCTGTGCTGCATCTGCAGCTTTGGTGCTGCCAGAAGTACACGGCCAAGTTCGAAGACCATGTTTGCCAGAATTGCAATGCATGTTCAATGCAGCTTCCTGGCGACCCCAGGCGCTCCCAGGCGCTCCCAGGCGGTCCTAGGCGCTCCCAGGCGCTTCCAGGCGCTCCCAGGCGCTCCCAGGCGCTCCCGAGTGCGCCCAGAGGCGCTTAGAGCGCCCCACACGTGTTTTCACGTGCCCCGTGCACGCACGGGCAGCCGGTGGCGCCACCGGCTGCCGCGCGGCGCGCGGCCCCCCCCCCCCTTCTCCTCCTCGAGGCGTAGCGCGCGGCTCGCTCCGCCCTTCGCTCCTCCGCCCCCTCCTCCGCCTCCGCCCCCCCTCCTCCTCCGCCTCCCGCCTCCCATTCCGCCTTCCCTGCCCTCCCCGCGTCCTCTTCCTCCCGCCCGCCCTCCGCCCCCCCCCCCCTCTCCGCCTCCCCCGCCCCCTCTACCTCCCGCCCCCCGTGCCCCCCCCGCCCCCCCCCTCCCCTCCCCCGGCCGCGCGCCCTCCCCCCCGCGCCGCGCCCCCTCCCCCAACGCGCACGGGGGGCGGGGGGGGGGCGCCCCCAGCTGCTGCACGACGCGGGACCCGGCCTCGGAGAGAAGCTCGCGGCTCTTCGAGATGAAGGAGGACCGGTGCGGCTCCGCAGCCCTCCTCGCCCACGGAGTCGGAGGGGGGAGGGGCGACACCAGCACCACCAGGGGGCCCACCTCCAGCGAGGAGGTCCACGATGCCTCCCCGAGCTGGAGGCTGGGGATGTCTCGAGCGAGAGGGGGGGGGGCCACACCACCAGGGAGACCCCCCCCCTTGCTCCTCGCATCTCCTCGCCCTGTTTGTGACCGGTGTTGGTGTCGCCTTTCCTTGTTCCTACGGAGGGGGGCGTTCGTGAAGGAATGTGCCCCAGAGGCTTCATACCCTGCAGGATGCCTCGTCTGATGAGGGCGGCGGTGATTCCCATGACCAGGCCTGAGTGAGAGTGCCACCGGCTTCAAGACCTTGGATTACTTATCCAATGGTTCGTGCCTGAGACTGATGGCATTTGTTTTGCTATCCCCTGCCCCCTCCATGCGGGAGGTGGTCCAGCTCCTCGTCGGATGGCCCGCACGATCCACGCATCCAACGAAGCTGCTCCTAGCCATCCGCCTCCCAGGTGGCTCCTGAGACCCTTCTTGGGAGGCTCCACGGGTGCAAGGAGAGCCCAGCCACAGCCCTCCCCCGGTCGGCAGCAAGCGACCTTGTCTCGCTCCAGCAGGCGACCGAGACACGCGAAACGCGAACGACTGAGATGATGATGATGATGATGATGATGATGATGATGATGATGATGATGATGATGATGATGATGATGCTGATGATGACGATGCTGATGATGCACATGCTCATGATGATGGTGATGATTATGATGATGATGATGATGATGATGATGATGATGATGATGATGATGATGATGATGATGATGATGATGATGATGATGATGTCGCTGATGATGCTGATGATGATGCTGATGATGATGCTGATGATGACGATGCAGATGATGCAGATGCTCATGATGATGATGGCGATGATGATGATGCTCATGATGATGACGACGACTATGATCATGGTGATTATGATTATGTTGATGATGGTAATGACGTGCATACTGGTGATGATGCTGAGGATGATGATGCTGATGTTGGTGTTGCTGACGATGATACTGATTATGCTGATGATGATGGTGATGCTGATGATGATGCTGATGAAGATGGTGGTGGTGATGGTGATGACAATGCTGGATATGAGGATAGAGGTGATGATGATGATTATGATCTGATGCTCCTGCTGCTGATGATGATGCTGACCATGATTATGACGATGATGATGCTGATGATGATGATGATGCTGATGCTGGTGATAATGGTGATGATGATGATGATGACGCTGCTGATGATGATGATGACGCTGATGATGATAATGATGATGATGATGATGATGATGATGATGATGATGATGATGATGATGATGCTCATGCTCATGCTCATGCTCATGCTCATGCTCATGCTCATGCTCATGCTCATGCTCATGCTGATGCTGATGCTGATGCTGATGATGAGGAGGAGGAGGAGGAGCAGGAGGAGGAGGAGGAACAGGAGGAGGAACCTGAGGAAGAGAACGAAGAGCACGAGGAGGAGGAGGAGGAGGAGGGGAGGAGGAGGAAGGGGGAGGAGATGGCATAGGTGGATGAACAGGCGGTGGAGGCGAAGGAGGAGAAAGAGGAGAAGGAGGAGGAGGAGGAGCAGCAGGAAGAGGAGAATGAGGGAGATGATGATGCTGATGATGATGATGATGAAGATGATGATGATGATGATGATGATGATGATGATGATGATGATGATGATGATGATGATGATGATGATGATGATGATGATGATGGTGATGGTGATGGTGATGGTGATGGTGTGATGGTGATGGTGATGGTGATGGTGGTGATGATGATGATGATGATGAGGAGGAGGAGGAGGAGGAGGAGAAGGAGGAGGAGGGAGGAGGAGGAGAAGGAGGGAGATGAGGAGGAGGAGGAGGAGGAGAAGTAGGAGGAGAGAGAGGAGAGAGGAGGAGGAGGAGGAGGAGGAGGAGGAGGAGGAGGAGGAGGAGGAGGAGGGGAGGGGGAGGACGAGGTGGAGGAGGGAGGAGGAGGAGGAGGAGGGAGGAGGAGGAGGAGGAGGGAGGAGAGAGGAGGAGGAGAGAGGAGGAAGGAGGCGGAGGAGGAGGAGGAGGAGGAGCAGAGGAGCAGAGGAGGAAGAGAAGAAGATGAATGAGGACGAGGCGGCCGTGTGGATGGCCTGGGAGGGGGCCTGGCCAGCCGGCCAGGAGTGGGTGGAGTTCGCACGCGTGGAGCTGCTCCCGGTCCTGCAGGAGGCCTCCAGGCCACGCGTTCCCCCTCGGGTTGGGGGCGTCCAAGAGGCGGGCGTGGAGGGGCTGGAGCTGTGCAAACCCAAGACGCAGCAATGTTGTTGCGATAAACCCTCCCTCCAAGTGTACTTTTCACAGGGCCCTGCAAGGATCTGTTTTCACTGAGGAAGTGCCCCACGGGAAGACAACCGTCTGAAAATCCTGAACCGTACCAGAACACTTCCACGCCGCGACCGTGGTGTATCATGGCGATCCTGAACTGTGCCAGGGCACCAGTCGTGAGACTTCACCGCGAATGAGGTTAGCTGTTGCACCCTGCGAGTCCTACATCGTGCATAGAATCCATGTCTGGGGTGTCAGCCATAATTAACATCGAAAGTGCTGTAAACTCTTTAAACGATTGTGCGCGACGCTCAGGAGAGAGCCACAGTTTGAAAAAGAGCCGCCCTCTATGCGCGAACACTTCTGCAAGTTTTTGAAAGACGTGAGCGCGGCGCGAAAGCGAGAGCAGCATTTGAAACAACCACCTGCCATCCATCCGAAAAGCCCGTTGCACATTGTGATGCCAAACGTTCACGGCGCTAAAGCGAGAGCCACATTTTATAACACCACCCGTCTTCCATCCGTTCATTTGTTGCCCTTTTGAAGTTTGAAGGAGGATCATACATGGTGAGGGCGTCTCAGGCGAAACGCCCGGCCCGCTCTATCGACACGTCTAGGGGTGCGACACGGAGGAATCATGTTTAAGGACATGGGATGGGGGAGGACGTGGGAGGCAGCAGGAGGAAGAGGAAAAGGAGTCCTCCTGTGTCGAGGAGGAATCTCCTTCCTGGGCCGAGGAGCCCCCTGGGAGGAGGGGTAGGAGTAGGAGGAGGAGGAAGAGGAGGAAGAGGAGGGATGATGATGATGATGATGAGGAGGAGGAGGACCAGTGTAAACCGAAGTCTCATCAACGATATTGAAATGCACCCTCCCTCCAGGATCCTTCTTCCAAGGCCCTGATAAACGGCCACGTCCACTGAGGGAATTGCCCCGTCGGGGGGACAACCGTGTGAACATCTTGAAGTCTTGAAGCGTGCCAAAACAACGCTCTCAGGACATCAACGCCACGAGTTAGCTTGTATGTTACGTCGTGGCGATCCTGAATCGTGCCAGAAAGCCGTTCCTGGGATTTCAACACCGCGAATCAACGTAACCGTTGCGCCCTGTCAATCCTGAGTCGTTCCAAAACACCGATTCTGGTACGTGAACCACGAAAATCGGTGGAACTCTTGCCATCGTTAAAAAATGGATGTGCGTGACGCTAAGGGGAGAGCTACATTATGAAAACGACCCGCCCTCAATCCGTGAAGTTGTTGCCAGTTTGTGAAACGAATGTGCGCGGCGCTAAAGGCGAGAGCCACATTTTGAAACGCGTCCGCCCTCTATCCGTGTAGCTCTTGCCAATGTTTAAAGCGAATGTGCGCGGCGCCAAGGCGACATCAACATTATGATAACGACCCGCCCTCAATCCGTGACGCTCTTGGATTTGTTTATAAAAAAACGAAGGTGCGCAGCGCTGGGGCGAGCGCCACATTTACAACGGTGAAGCTCTTGCAAGTGAACCGGAGGATGGAGGATGGAGGTATGAGGCGGATGCGGTTGCGGGCGACGACGAAGAGGTGAATGAGGAAGAGGACTCGCATGGGCGAAGACATGTTTGATATGCAGATTGGCGAGAGGAAGAAGAGGCATGGGAGGAGGGCGTGGAGGAGAAGGAGCAGTCGAACGAGGAGGGGCAGGAGCAAAGGGAGGAGGGGGAGGAGGGGGGCCCGAAGTGTTTGCATGGTGATCACCGGGTACTCTCCGCTGCCCCCCCCCCCATGCGTCACGAAAAGAGCTGGAGCTCCAGGGGCATCGAGAATAAGGACTGGCAGCTGAGAGTGTATTTCACCGGTGACGAGCTGGCCGAACTCGAGGAGCCGGTTTTCCCGTGCGCTTGCGTCGCGCATCCCGCCAGGTCCTCTTCTGCTAGAGTGTGCCAGTTATGTTACAGTGCCGTCGGACGTGCAGCCGGCTGGCCTGCGGAAAGCCATCGCGGTGTTTACAAGCAGTTGTGCACGCGATTGCACACTGGCTGACTGTTGTTAATATGAGGGGACCTATATATGTATTGATTTCCAGCCATGCTTCGACTTGTTGCCACTTTCTGCTGAAAAGAGTGCGTGCGCGGTTTACCACGGATGGCCGTGCATGCGGTTGTAACCGCCCCGAAGAGTTGTCCATCGCAGCATCCGATTGTGACAATGTCTTCGGCTGCCTTGGGTCCGTATGGCTGGGTAGGGCTCAGTCGGAACCCCATGTGGAGTCCAGAAGTCAGCTCGGCAAGTGAGGGCGGGTGGTCGCACACTCTTTTGGTTTCATTTTTATGTTCTTCCCCCAAGGTCCCATGGCCTCATTGATCTTCCTCGGTTGGCAGTTCCCTCGCCGCATCACTAGATGCGGCGATCTCGCAGGGCGAGCATTGTGCTTGACACGTCCTCAGCAACGAGTGTCCGAGGGCTTACTATCTCCGGCAGCTGCAGGGATGGAGGTCGGGCCGATGTCGGATGCCGTCTTTCGTTTGGATTCTATCTGCAGCGTAGGAGCCTAATGAGGAAACGCTCCACGGATAGAGACTGGGCCATTTTGGAGTCCGCGCTCATATTGAAGACCTTGCCGCGTATTCTGATAGTGTAGTTCATCGTGTCATCAATTAGCGCACGGTTGACCATGTGTTAAGGCTTCTGTTCCATCGATCATGGACTCCAGGCATCCCAGGACAATACCGGTGCGTAGTCACGTATTGTTCTCGTTGGAACTGTTTTGACAGTTTTCTATTACGGCCAAGCTCCATTACTCCGACATTTTCCCTGGTGGAAGGCGGAAGACGCTTCGTATTCTAATCATCGACATCGCTTTTATCGCATTCGCGAGGTGTGACCATGAAGCTTCAACGTGCCAAGAGCTCGACAGATGGGTGAGCGGCTTGCTCTCGGAGTCCGCGCCCTGGCTGCTCGTCTTTGAAATCACCACGGGTGATACGTCTCGGGCGCGCTGTGTTTGTGCACATGGTGTTTGTCGGCTCTTTGGTGCGGCAATCGTCGGTCGATCGATATCACTTGGGCCTGAAACCCCAGCACCGCTTCCTGTTGCGTGACCACGGAGTGCCGATCCTTCAAGACTTGAAGGTCCTCCAGGCCTCCCAGATGAGGTCCAAGTAGATGGGCTCGAAGGATCGCGCCGCATCGCCGATGCATCGGAATGCGGCTCGATGTGGAGCCCAGCTGTCTCCACGCTGGCGTCGCCGATACAGCGGCGATGCATCGGCGATGCCGGGCGATCCCCCGGCCCCATCTACTCGGATTGGGAGGCCTCTAGGTCCCGAGCGTGCGGCACGGGAGCCGGCTCCGGGCCGCGAGGTGGGGAGGAGGAGGCGGAGGAGGAGGAGGAGGAGGAGGAGCAGGAGGAGGAGGAGGAGTCCGTAGCCATTTTGGCTCAAGGCTAAACGTCGTGAAGGGTCGCAGACCCGAGAACCAGCGAGATTAGCTTTGGACCCCTCCGTAGCCTGCCTGGAACAGGGGCTTGGGGCTTTGCCCGCGGTGCTTCCCAGTCGTTTCCAGTTACCGACTGATCCAGCAGTCATGGGCGGCAGCTCCTGGTGGGCCTACCAGCAGCAGTACCAGCAGCATCAGCAGAGGCGTCGTGAATACTGCGTCTGTTCGCGGTGTGGAGAATGGCATAATCTGAACAAGGCACGCAAGGAGGTCTTTTGCCTGTGCGGACAGCCGTTCGACCTCCCCACCAAGAAGGGGCAGGTCGGCAGCAGCAGCACGGGCAACATTGGCGGCGGCAGGCAGCAGAAGGACCATGAGAGACCCTCAAGAGCTGAAAGGTTTTCTCACGCTTCCCTTCGCAGAGCAGAAGGTGGGCACCGGCACAGAGGCGTGCATCAGGTTGCAGGGATTGGTCGCGCCACCGAAGAAGCCACCAGCCGCGGCAGCCACCACAGCTTCGCACGGCGTCTCGAGGAGAAGCAGGAGGCCCTCAACGCGGCAGCCACCGAGCTCAAGAACGAGATCGACGCCACCAGAGACGACCTCCAATCCACCACGGAGGAGCCCGCCAAGGCTCGCGTCGACTTCGAGGAGGCGAACGTGGAGGCGACCCGCGGCTGGGGTGGAGGCGCTCCGATGGCGGAAGATGATGTCGACATAGAGGCAACACCCGTCAAGCTCCCACCCGTACCATATGGGCTCATGAAGTTCATTGAAGCATGGAAGGAGTCGACGGGGCGAGCGCCAAGAAGTTCTACGCATGACCTGGAGCAGGCCAAGGCCAAGATACCGCCCACCAAAACGATAAAACCCAAAACCAAAACCAAGTCAACCCCGACTCCATCAGCAGGCTCATGTCAGCCACAAGCCGCTGAAGGTGCAGTTGGTGGTCAGGGTCGGGGACGTGATGCAGGCAGCAGCAGCGCAGCTTGCGGCGACAAGCCTCGCAGCCGCAGTTGCCCGCACCCTGCCACAGGGGCCAGGGGGGGCGGCACTCAGTAGCGCTGAAGGCGTCCGCAAGAGGCACAACCGACCCCCCAACCAGGGGCACAAGAAAGTTTCACAAGTTTTGCCGACATCGCGACTTGGAACAAGAAAGCCAAGGATTACCTCCAGACCTCCAGTTTTGGACAGCTAGGGGTCATCATGCTCGGGGAAACGCTTTTGGTTTCTGGACGTTTGGGAGAAGCACGGAAGTACATTGGGAAGCTTCGCTGCAAATGCCATCGGTCCCTGGCACCCCAACACCAGCGGGGAGTTCAGGTGGTGTTGGGCTTTTGGTCTCGAAGCAGTTTTATTCTCACGCGCGTATCATGAACGGAAAGGGGCAGGCTAAACCATTGGTGGGAGGCACTAATTGGACGGCCTGCGTAGTTCGTTTAATCGGCGCAGTCTAGTGCTCATCCCGGTTTACTTGCAATCGGGGGTAGGCTACAGCTCATTTTAAAAAGGTGGTCCGAGAGATCACCCTCTTCGTCAAGCAGCTCCAGCTTCGATTCGTCATAGGAGGGGGCTCCAACATGACCCCAGGTGAGCTCATCAATGGGAGCTGGGTCTCCAGGCTCGAGGGCATCGTCAAGGCTCCAGAGGTCCTCAGCATCTGATCGGGAGGGGGGCTCATCGGCTTCTTCGTTATCGGCAGTTTCCAGGGGGACTACTTCAGCTTCGAGACCGCGCCAGCCCGCGGAAGCCGCGCATCGGCTTGCGGGCGTCCTTCGAGGCAGAGATTATCGCCGTGCAGGGGCGGTTTCAGAAGCGAGCGGCTTCGCTCCAGACCCCCTTCGGCCCCTGCTGCGCCGTCGCGTCGCTACTGGGCGCGGGCCCAGTTGGACTGGCAAGCTTCGCCAGGAATTCCGCGCCCCTCTGCCGGCGCCCACGCCTCGCCCGACCCGGCCCGCCAGCGCGTTCGGATCAGCCAGGCCCTGGAGGGGCGGCGCCTCGGAAGCCAGTCCAGTTGTCCACCCAGTTTCGGGCGGGCAGAAGGCTTCCAATGCGATGGGAAAGATAGGCCCCCCCACCCCGCCCCAGCAGCGTCCCCGCCGTGCTGGCCGCCAGCGGGGGGTGCCCCAGCAGCGGGCCAAGGAGAGGGGCCGCGTCAAGAGGCACAGACCCATTTCAGCAGGCTTCCAGAGGCTCCGCGGACACCGCAACGACGTCGTCAACCAGGGCCCCCCATGGCCCCCCGGGACCCTTCAGGATTTGCAGGACTTGAAGCAGTACCTCTTGGGAGGCCTCCAGGAAGCCCACCTTGAAGGTGCTCTCTTCCAGCTAGAGGTCACTGTCCAGTTTTCTGAGAAAAAGGCTTTGCGGCAGCAGGGCGCTGCCTTCCAGTTGCGGCTCGAAGGCCCCCTCGTCCGCGGCGGAGGCGGAGCCCGCCGCGTCGCGAGGATTCCTGGTCCGACCCCCGAGTAGGACAACGACATCTCCAAAGATGGCAACGGCAACGTAGTTTCGGGCCCCATCACGAGTCCTAGGTCGCAAGGGCGACTACTGGACGAAGTCCTGGGACCCAAGGGGGCACAGGTTGGAGGCCCCCCCCGAGGCCCAGTGGATTCGAGAGCTCAGGGCGCTGGCACGGGACTCACGGGGCCAGGGCCGCTGTTTCTCCGCCGCGCAGGTCTTCGCCGCCCATTGTTCTTTTCCTGCCAGCTCGGCGCCTGGTGCTGACCAGTGGCGAACAGCAGATCTTCGCAGGCTACCAGTACCAGGGTTGGAGATCCCAACAGATATGATAAATGATACTTGCAGGCTGCAGCAGCACCCGGCCCAATGATTAGTCAACCTCGTGGCCCTGGAGCCCAAGGCCGAGGTCAGCGACAGACCCGCCGCCCTCGCCAGTGCGCTTCACCAGGTCGCCATGAGGCTCTTCAAAGGCCGGATCTCATATTGGGAAGAAGCTCGGGCTGGATTCTGGGGCGCAGCCATCGCAGGTAGCGATTGTCTTCGGGCAGCCTTGACCAGCGAGTATATCGCCGAGATCAGCGGGGCGCTGCAGGTCTCCATCGTCGAGGGGGTGCTCGACCTCGATATAGAGCTCTCCCGGCGGGCCCTGAGGGCCAGGCCACCTTGCGGCCCCGCTCTCCCCGGGGGTCTGGGCCCGCGCCGCCGTCGGCCCTCGCCGCGCCCATCGGGGTCAGCGAGCCCCTCGCGCCACTCATGTCCATGCTTCGAAAATGCGGACACAGCGCGCCATGGACCAGGGCCCTACTCTATGAGGAACTGGAGAGAGCCCACCGTCAGATCCCCAGGCCCACCATCATACAAAAAAACGGGTGGACGACGTCAGAGTCCGCCTGGTCGGCGGCCCCGACACCTTGAAGGAGACCTTTCTCAATTGTATCGTGGGTCTATGTCGAGGATTTGCTGAGCTAGGATGCCGTCTTTCAGAGAAGTCAGTCGCCTCGGCCAGCGACCCAGACATCAGCAAGGCATTCGCGGGGGGCCTCCTTGGATCAGGGGATCGCCATCAAAATCCTCCGCCCCGCCAGGGACCTCGGGGCGAGCGCCCCCGCGGGGCGCCGTCGGGCCCTCGAAGTCGGCAGGGAACGCCGTGCCTCGAGGCCCCTCAGGGCTAGAAACATTAAGGATCTGGCCAGGGCCGCGACCGAGGCTTAGTCTCTCTATCGCACGGGCGCGCAGCTTTAGATCTTCTGGGGCATGCAAGGTCACGGGGCCTCGCCATCAGATGTGTGTGTGTGTGCGTGTGTGTGTGTGTGCATGCGTGCGTGCGTGTGTGTGTGTGTGTGCGTGTGTGTGTGTCTGTTTGTGTGTGTGGTTTGTTTGTCCTTCTTATTCTTCCCCCCCCCCTTTCTGCGCCGCCAGGCCGCCGCCGCCTCTGGAGTCTCGAAGTCGGGAGCTCGCCTCGCCGCGGGGCTCCACGCCCTCGAGGTAGAGCCCGCGGGAATCGACCCCGCCATTCTTCTCAGGGCGAACCTTTTCCAGACCTGGTTCAGATTCATCGACGGTGAGCTCGGGCCCCTGGGAGGCATTCAGAGAGCCTGGGCCCGACTCAGAGATGAACTTCGCTCGCGGCATCGCTGGCTCCGTGCGCGATCGCACCTGTCGGGGGCCATCGCCGCGCTCTTCGACATAGGCCGGCCCCCCCCCCCCCCCCC